CTCAGGCGAAATTTGATTGGCTGAATATATGGCAGCCATCTTGGATGGTACACACACACAGCTCTGCGTATTTCGAACATCGAATACATTGCTGTTAGCGCTCTAGTATTTTTATTATATCTCTATGCTCTATCTACGGCTCTGGAATCAATATGAGTTTACTGCCCTCTACAGTATTACACAATGACTATGACTACCAACACCATGACCACCGCCCGGACGAAAGCCAAGCAAGCGAGACTAGCATGCTTGCCCTACGATGCCGGGTGCGTTCAACAATCTCTGCAAAAAAAAAAAAAAAAAGATAATTAATTGCAGTATATAAGTTCGGAATTTTGCAGCATTCAGAGTAAAATTAAGAGTTAGTATTATGACGTGAGTAAATGCATTAAAAATAAATATTCTTGTAATTGTATCAGTAGTGTCCAGGCTAGCTAGCTAGGCCTAGCTAGGGCCTACTACTACTATAGGCTAGGCCTAGGCTAGCTAGGAAAGGCTGTGTAACCGGCTAACTCAGCCTAGGCCTTAGGCCTAGGTAGGACGCTACGGAGACCCTGGACCGGCTACTCAATTTTTTTTATGTAGGTCTAGGCCTATAAACACACATAGGGCCTAGGCCTATTTACTGTAATAAGAATGAGAAAAAATTACCTGGGGAGGACCCCGACCCCCCTTTCTTTTTTATGCGGTTCATCGATTCATTGAAAAAAAGAATAGGCCTATGTAGGCCTACAGTGTATGCAACTACTCAATTTTTTTTTCTGTATGTGCAGTACCGGTGCGCACATAGAAGGCCTATTTACTGTATTAAGAATTAGACAAATTTACCTGACTGTTTTCAAGAAGGGATAAAACCTATTTTTAAGAACTTGAAACTCGTTAAGACACTTCAGAAGTCAGGAAAGTTCATTTCCCGCCATCTAGGAATCAAAATTTTCCCAGGGAAGGACCCCACCCTCCTTTTTTTGGGGTTTTCTAGACACATTTTGATCCCCTCCTGAATTTGAACCCAGATCCACCCCTGCATAATCAATAAGATTCAAACAAGTCTAGGCATAAATAAATCCATAGTTACCAACCGCATCGTGCGGGATGGTCCCGCGTTTTAAAGTTATTTTGGATGAAATACATTTTTGGAGAAACACATGCGTGATCGTAAATTTGTCACGCATTAAGCATAAGTCTATGTGTGTTACGTATTATCACGATTTAACATTAGAAGAAACTGGTTTTTAAAAAAATATATAAATGGTCATGCCGTTTTGAATGATTGGAGAGCTTTCATTATCTCGTTCAAAAATCAGTTCACCAAGAGCTTAGAAGGCACGTATGGTCTTTCGTGTTCATTGTCACAACCAACTGTTGATTACAGTATGTGACTGAAACTGCAGTTGCCAGTTAGCATCAAACATGCACGCAGTCAGGTAAGTACAGTGACTACTTAATTCACTGACGCGTTACTAAAAATTGATCAGTATGTTATTTATTTATTTTTTTTGAGTAATGAAATGTTTATGTACTTAGTTCGGGTGCAGAAGTTAAACGTACATTGAAACTCAAATTGTATGTGGCTTTATTAAAAATATTTTTTGTTTTAATTATGTACCCAGTATTGTCAACATTTTTTTTTTTGAGTAATGAAACGTTTGTGTACATTGTTCAGGTCCTGAAATTAAATGTACATTGAAACTCAAATTGGCTTTATTAAAAATATATTTTGTATATGTACCCAGTATTGTCAACAAACACTCCCAGAAATTGTTTTAAAACAGCTTACAAATGCTCAGATCGTCAAAGCACCAGGGGCCTCTACTATTGAGCAATGATTTTCTTGCGCTGTTTTCAAACTGCACAAATACAACAAATTGCACATAGGATAGTCGTGTCAGTCATACCCATAATTTATTCAAATTTTACCCATTTACAGAGTCCAGTCATCTGATTGTTGTTGTCACTGACTAACAAAAAACATCTGGATGGGCAACAAATGTTCGTGCCGAGAAGCTGGAAGTGATTGTAACGTTAGCCAAGAGTATAAGCCAGTTGATCAACAAGAGAAGGTTACTTTCAATAATAGTAACCAGAGTTGTGCCATTCCTTTGAAGGAATCGGAAAGAGCTGTTAGTTTTTCTGTTGGAAGTGGTCATAAGACAAACTGGAAAATGTCTATTCCCTGCACTCCTGGTTCCCCTGGTGAGGAGGGCCGTTCCAAAATGATCATGATGCTGAACCAGACCAGAGATCAAATTGAAAAGTTGACGTCAGATGATAGAGATAAGAATTTAGAGGCTTTGAATGGCTTGTATTATATGGTAGATGAAGCTTGGAGTATCCCTAAGTATGGCAGAGATCTTGCATATGCTATAAGCAATGTGCTACGAGAAGAGGGCGCTCTCCTTGTTATACTCTCCAAGTGCGCATGTACCGATAAAGACATGCAAGTAGCAGGAGCGCAGCTACTGGAACAGGTTATGATCGCATCGAATCGCGATTACCTCGTTGAATGTGGAGTGGAATCCGTTGTGCAATTAGCATGTAGTAGAGAAGATCCAAAGTTGATTCAGATTGGCATGGGAATCATTGAAAACTTGTTTAAACATTCACCAAACACATGTACGCGGGTGATAGAGTACGGTGGACTTCATGGCATGTTGTACAATTGTAGGTCGACTGATACTATTACGCTAAGACATTGTTCGGCTGGGTTATGTAATTGTGCCATGTTTGGTGGGCCAATTAATCAAGAGAGGATGATTGAACAAAAAGCTCCGGAGTGGTTATTCCCATTGGCCTTCAACAAGGATAACAGTATTCGATATTATGCTTTATTAGCTATATGTACACTAGCAGCAAACAGTGATATACAACGTGCAGTTGTCAATTCTGGCACGCTAGATCTAGTGGAACCGTTTGTGACCTCCCACGACCCCATTGGCTTTGCAAAGGGTGACAAGGCCCATGCGCAGGGGAGATCGGAAGGATGGTTGCGTCTTTTGATTTCGATGTTGACATGTGAGCGCAGGGAAGCTCAATGTTTGGCTGCATTTCACTTTGCGATGGAGGCTACCATTAAAGCAGAACAAGGAAGAACAGAGGTAAGTGAAATAATTATTATTAGTGCATGAAAAAGTACAGTACAAAGCGTACGGTATAAAGCTCTATCCACACTATCAAGTTTTATATGACAAACCTCTGTGATATGCCCATATGTGGGTATGGTATGACATCATCATATGTGATGCCCATATATGGGCAAATCACAGATACGTATAAGTGTGAACAGAGCCCTTAGATTAGACTTTGAAACAGAAACTAGATCAAAGTCTGATCAAATATTTTCCGAGTCTAAAGCTTTGTCCAGACTATCAAATTTTAGTTGACAAAAAACTGTTGTATGCCCTTATATAGTCATGATATGCCTAAATAAGGTCATGATGTGATTTCATGATGACCGTATTTAGTCATGTCACATGTTTTTGTCAAATAAGATAGTCTAGACAGAGCTTGACAAATATCCGATAGTGTTTGCCCACTGTTAGGTTCCTTTTGTGGTATCGTGTGTGGAGATTTCTGACCCAGATTCATATACAATGAGCATTTTAGAAACAAAAGCAATGTATTATTTGCATAAAAAACAAAAGGTCACTAAAAAATAAAAATGAGTTTTAAACCGATGATCACATGATTCATTGATGTACTGTAATTGGTGATTTGCTAAAGGATATACAGTATAATTGTTGCTATTTTGAATTGATTTCAAGTATTTTAAAGTTTTGAATTAACTATTTTTTCTTAAAGGGAAGCATACCTCACCAGTGACAGGGTTTTTTATGCGTTTGCTTCTCCTCAGCTTTTATATCTTCTTTTGTCCTGTTGAATTTTATGCCGGAATGAATAAAATCAAATATAAAATAATTATTATTTAGTGAAAAAAGTCTACATCACCAGGATTACCAGTAACTTTCAATTATATAAACATACCATTTAATATTCTCAACTGTTATTGTAAAAAGGTAACTTTTAAAGTTACTTACTTACACTCCAGGTTTTACTAAATAGACTAGCCAGAATTATTCTGCATGCTGTCATTAGAACACCGGTTAATGACCTTATGGAATCACTTAACTGTAATTATTTAAATCAACAATGGGAATGTAATATTCTTTTAATGACGTTTAAATGCTTATCGGGCACTGTTCCTGAATATTTAACTAATTTTTACAATTTAATTGATGCTTACCATAGCATAAATACAAGAAGTAAAATTGGAACACTTTAGTCTAACCACAATGGCAAAATGATTTGGAAAAAGAAATTTTAAATATCACTTATTTATGGAATAATCAATCATCAGACATTCATAGCAATATTCATTCCCTTTCCTTACAATCCTTCAAAAATCTCATTTAATTTACCCATATGTTTTTCTTTTTTGTTTCTTGTATTTATGTAATATATTTTTTTTCTAGATATGCATTTTTCTTTTAATTTTGTTTTGTAATTTAATGAAATTTAAGATCATACCCTGGGCCTCAGAGAGGAACAGTGAAACAATACTGACTGAGTATCCAGAATAAAGAAAGATTTCTATCTATCTATCTATATAATATAAATGCCAAGAAACCAAGGTTCACAACACACAAGTTGATATTACTTGTTCTTGGAATTCCATCCTGTTTGCAATCTACAGTGATATGAATATTGTGAGGATACTGTAGGTGTACCAGTATTCATTGATTTTGCATTGCATTTGCAGTAAGCTAATTTGCATTGCAGCAAGCTAATTTGCATAACTGTTTCTGTTTCATTGATGGAATTCCCCTGATGACACTTGTGCATGATAATCAATTTGGAAATATGAATTTTTTAGCTATTTGGTTATTATTTTTTTCTTGAATATAGTACCCTGATATTTTATATTCACTTTCATTTTAAATTGAACTACTGTAGGCTAAGTTTGAATATATTAATGATATTTTGTAATTGATACAGTTTGATTAATTTGCCTAGATATTGTTATTCTTAGTTTGTTTCCATCCTGGCACTTATAAAATAGGTTACATTTGTTAAAAGATGTCTTAAAGTGTTGCCTTTGATGAATATCAATAATAATAATATTAATAATAATAGTAATTATTATTAATATAATAATATTATGGTTGTGATGTTGATGATGAAGAATGATCGATTTAATGTTTATGAAGATACAGGTAAGGATGACTATGATGATGAGGATGGTAATGATAATGATGATGATCATGATAATGATAGTGTAAAGAGTCGTGACTATGATGATTTTTTTTTGTCTGAAAATAAATACCTGTAGTTTTGTAATAATAGAAAACAATGCCTTACTCTTAACTCTCATATTTAGTTTCATATGTTCAGGTTTAATAAACATTGTCTCAAGGTCCTAATGCAATTCTCTTATAAATTTATAATTCACCGTACAGTACAGTATCGGTTTTCATATTATAAGATTAAAAGATTAAGTAAATCAAGTAAAGTGAAATTGTCACCCTCGATAACAGTATTAGTAGGTGGTATTATGATAGGATGATCGTGTGATCATTGATGACCAGTGATATGCTATGTTTCTTATGTTAGTGCCAATAATGGATGTATGTATACAGTTCACAATATCAGTTGAGGATACAAATAATGCTTATCACAATTAGAACTGGAATCTGAATTTATAAATACAGGGGGCAAAAGGTTTTATTTATTAAAATGTATAATACTGTAAACTCATATTAAGTTATTAAAATTTTAAATATTGTATTTAATTTTTATATAATGGAATCCATTGTCTAGGAGATAATGAATCTGTCATTTACAAGAAAGTAATCTTTTTAAGCTGTATTCCAATCCCAATTTTCTGGGTTTATCCTGTAATATTCCTTTTTTATGCAGTTGGGATTCTGTTTTCTCTATTAAGGGAAGAACACAACAGCAATAATTAGTCCTGCTGGATGGGATTTGTAGCATCGTTATATCTAGGGGTAGTGTATCCAGCTCATCGGTTTGATTTTATTAACTTTATTTATTTCAAAAAAATTGTCCAACGGGAACACTTTATTCCCACTTACAGGAGAAAAGTAACAAAGAACATTACATTAAATAAAGCAATTGAAAACAAATGGCCTCCTAAAGACCTGGATTTTACAAGGAATTCTTTCCCAATACTCTCCTATGACATCCCTGACAATATTTATTCCATTGTCTTTCCTGATGTTAGAACATTAGAGAACAGGGAAGTATTAAATGATAAACAGTGAATGTTTGTGAGTGCAATGGGAAGAATATTTTCATGAGTTGAAAGATTGACTGTTCCATTCAACGAAGCGGAAGCGAGTAGACTGGAACAGTCAATTATTATTATTATTATTGAAATCTAGGACTAGGCTAGAATTCTGTCAGGGCATTTTGGAAAAACAAGAGCTAAATTCTGGACAGATTTTGCGCAAGTTTGAGCTAGTTTTTGAGGTATCATCAACACAATTAAAATACTAGTTTTACAGCTGTTTACAGTAAACAAAATCTCTGATACATTGCACAATTCTAAGACAAATTCAGCAAGATGAGAAAGCTTATACCCGTAGGTGACGTGACATCATTTCATGGATTTAACCCTCTGGAAAAAGTCTTTTTAACCATTCAAAAATTGTAAAAGTTGAAGTCATTTCATATCCATAGGCAACATGCAATGGATGGAACAAAAATGCATGGTGGAATAAATTTATTTCAACGATGAGCGATGAAGTAGTCAAAATAACTAGATGTCACTTGGTACGAAATCAACCAATCATATGATTGGGATCTATTTAGGTGTGTTGCAAAATGGAATATTCTATAAAGTTGGTATCCATTCATTTTGTGTGTCATAGAGATTCATGACATAAATTGTGTTCTATTTATGAGAGTGGGAAGCAGGGAAGGGTTTGTCAGTGTTGTGATGTCACAAACCAATAATGAATGCTATTTGTTGTGTTTGAACTGGTGACCTTGTCGTTAGGAGGAAAGTGCAGCAGTCCAAAATTCATTTGAATATTATATTGTAGTATGTTAGTAGGTACTTGACATTTCAGATAGCATTGAAAATTCTTTCATGTGTCTATTCAAACCTTGTAAAGTGGATCATAAACTGAAATGTTTATGGTAGACACAGGCTGTTGAATTTTAATGCCAAGTTATATATTATTTAAGAGTATTTTACGTTCACTATGTAGGCTTTTAGGAATTTATTGATTATCATTATTAATAATATATTATGATAAGTATTCATGATGATAGTGACTACTAATCTCAGGCAATTTGTATAGACATTGAGCCTTCCACATTATTACCCAGGGGGCATTTGAAAACACAAGCAATCATCAGAGTGAAATTAGACTAGGTACAATAATTTGAATACTTATTACTGTAGAAATACATCTATCACAGATTTTACTGTATATAAATAAGTTTGGTTGTACTGTATGTCCCTGGACCAGTTTTGAATCAACAAATACTGTATTGATTATCGTGAGTCTTATTTAAAAATTGGGGAGAAAGGTGGACAAAAGGGTGGTTATGCCCCTTTTCCCTCAGTTTTTAAATATTCAAAAATCTGTATCTTGTTAACCTGAGAGTTTCGTCAAATTTGCTTTTTGTGTCTTAGAAAAATCAGTTGTACAACATATAATTTGTTTTCCTCCAGAGCCAGAGCCTGAAAATGGCTCACATATTTGTGCAGGTGTGTCAATTCAATTCTGAATTATAATATCTAAAAACTGCATTTGATGCGGCTTATTTATAGAGGCATGTTAAATGTAAAGCTTAGTGCTAGATTGAAGAGAAAGAGGTTTAAATACTGTAAGTACTTCTGTTGATTGTTAAATTATTCATGTATTCATAACTGTATACTGTAGACATTGTCAGTTACTTTAATCTCAGAAACGCATCAAGTGTTGCAAGTCAAACAATCCAATGCATGAATAGATTGCAGTAAATATTACACAAGAATTATCAAATTATGATAATTTATCTGTTTGCAAAAATTTATCTGCATTAATGTTGCTATAAAGGGACACAGTTCAACGCTAAGTGACAAGTA